GTCGTGTAGCAAAAGCGAAAGAAATCGATGGGTTGGTGTTGCTGAGCAGTGGCTGTCTGGTTTTTCGTTTGGTTCTTTCCTAGAAGCATGGTTAGGGTTTTCCTGCTGGGAATGAGGGCTCCATGGGAGCATGCATTCAAGCTCTCAAAGTCAAATTGTAGCAGTAAACTGTAATTAAAACTAAACTAAATTAAAAAATAAATAAGGAAGTAAAAAAAATTGAACAAATTCTAGATTTAATTTGCACAGTAATCTGAACTTTCATCGAGTTTCTTAAATTACATCATAATCTAACTATGGGTTAAAAATTATATTTATTCTTGTAGCACAGACACTTTCCTGAATTTAATTAGGAAATGCACAAACTGTAAAGTGTGTTATTTAAAGTTTTTTTATTTAAAAATAAATGTTGTTTTTTACACATTTATGTTTATAGTGTAATTTATTTATATTATAGTATATATACAAATTGTTTTTCCACTGAAAACATGAAGGTAATTCTATAATTTAGAATGGCTGTGGAACTGCACATAGTACAATTTGTGTTTTTAAATTTTAATTATTTTAATGTATTAATTTTAAAAATAAATTTTAAAAATATAAAAACATATTATTTTGATATATTTTAATTTAAAAAATATTTTAAAAATAAGCTCTCAAAGTCAAATTATAGCAGTAAACTGTAATGAAAATATATATATTTGAAAGGATTTTAATAAATCCTTGAATAACTAATTTGTTCTGAAAATAACATATTAAGCTAATTACATACCTAACTAATTAAAACTAAATTAAATTAAAAAATAAATAAGAAAGTAAAAAAAATTGAACAAATTCTAGATTTAATTTGCACAACAATCTGAACTTTCATCGAGTTTCTTAAATTTCATCATAATCTAACTATGGGTTAAAAATTATATTTATTGCACAGACACTTTCCTGAATTTAATTAGGAAATGCACAAAGTAAAAAGAGAGTAATGGGTGTGATTAGTACTTAAAAGTGCATTTTTATCATGGTTTTATATTATCATTTTGCACTTGAAGTATCAATAACTCCTTAACCAAAATATGTTTTATAATAATATATCTAATAATATAAGATACCTATAATTTATGGTAAATGTCTATTTTTAATGTAGGCCTATCACATAAATGAAAGGATTGATTGATGACTTGAAGAACTTAAATTGCAAGGATAAAGAGATGGCCAAACTTAGAAAAGAGATGTCGGTGCAATCCAAACCGGAACACTGTTCGGTAATTGGGTCATATCTAGAGCTATATATCTCAGATTTAGGTCCAATTTATATGGATGGAAAGGTAAGACATAGACCTACAACTTTTATATGGAGCCCAAGATCTAAAAAGGCCATTATCAAGTCCAAATTGTAGCAACAACAAAGAAGCCCGAATCTGTCTTCCAGCCCGAGCACTGTTCGGTATTTTGGCCATATCTGGAGTTCTAGAAGTCCAAATGAGCTGAATTTTTTACACAAGAAAGCTGAGACAATTGCCTACAACTTTCATGTTTGCAACTGGCTCCAGTTTTGACGTTATCAATGACGTTTTGGGCAGACAAGAGAAGATAAGGATTGTCACCAAGTCAAAAGTTGGCCACCCACTTATCAATTAGTCATCAAATCAATAGTTCCCAATTTTGGCCTATAAAAGGAGGCATTTGCCATGCATTTAGGCATCTTGGTTTCCAGATCAAGATCATGCTCTTCCTTTCTCTCTTTGTATTTTTTCTAATGTTTATGCTTTACTTTCATTAATATTAAGTTTATGCCTTTCATTTCCTTTCCTTTACTTAGTTAATTTTTATGTTCTTATTTTGTTTATCTATTTTGCTTTCTTTCATTATGTCTAGCTAAGTTAATTATGTCAAGGTGAAAAGGTTACACTAATGGTGTGAGAATAAGTATAATGTAAACTTAATATGGACTTTAATGTTTGATACTAACATGTTTTATATTTGTTATCTTGTTCACTCTTTAATACTTTGCTTGTTAAATGACTAATCTTGATTTATGTTGTATAACACTTGGTACAACAAATGTTTGGCACTTTCATAGCCCATAATGTATGGTATAACCGACACCTGAGCTATGAAAGGAACTTGATTTGTTGTTAACATAAGTTATAATCATGAATGCTTGACGAGATTTACAAGTATTAACATTAATTGAATAGGATGACTAATGTAATCATGTTAACAATATATAATCTGATTGGAACCTCCTTTGTGTGTGGTTTCCAATTCAATAATAAGAGTTTATACTATACTTGTTTGATATACCATTAGTGGAACCTCTAACCTTGACATTTGTTATTATTATTGTTTAATCCTTACATTAATTTTTCATCTCCAAGTTCTCATTATTATTATTATTATTATTTTCTTTATTATTATTATTATTATTACTACTACTACTACTACTACTACTACTACTACTACTACTACTACTACTACTACTACTACTACTAGTACTACTACTACTACTACTACTACTACTACTACTACTACTACTACATTATTATTATTATTATTATTATTATTATTATTATTATTATTATTGTTGTTGTTGTTGTTGTTGTTGTTGTTGTTGTTATTGTTATTGTTATTGTTGTTATATTATTGTTATTTATAATTTATACAAATAACCTCCCTGTGGTTCGACCCCGGTCTTGCTGGGTTATTTATTACTTCGACACTCCTGCACTTGGGAGAAGACAACAATCTTTTCGTCGTGTCAGGGTGTTAGGAAAGTGATAAGTATTGTTATTTAAAGGTTTTTTTTTTAAGTATAAATGTTGTTTTTTCTCACATTTATGTTTATAGTGTAGTTTATTTATATATATACAATTTTTTTATACTGAAAACATGAAGGTAACTTGTGTTTTTAAATTTTAAATTTTTTTATTTTAATTTTTTTGATATACTCATTTTAAAAATAAATTTTAAAAAAATAAAAAAACTTCATTTTCATATATTTTTAATATAAAAAATATTTTTAAAAATAATTATAATTATATTTTCAAAAGGACTCATAATAATAAAGAACAATGAATATATAAAATGTTATAAATATTGTTTTTAAAAGTTATTTTAAATAAAAATTATTTTTTTACTATTTATATCTAGTTTACAGTATAATAAATTTATATGAGATGGAAGTCATTCTAATATCAAAATATTTTAAAGTTCAAATCCTATTCTACATTCAATTCCAAAATCAATACATATCAATCATTTAAAAAAATATATATATAATTTTTTTGAAATAAACCTAAATTTGTAGGAAATAAAGAATAAAATTAAGAAGCCTTACATTATTCAACTAAGAATATAATAAAATAATGACCCACCATAATTAAAAATGAATTAAACTGAATTTATAATTACTTATTCTAATATTATAAATTTGTTCTAAGCAGCCAACCTAGTTACTTGTTAATCTAGAGTTTGGTTGTGCTAGATTTAAATTAATTTTTTTTTTGAAACAATATTATTTTAAGTTTTAAAACAATATTATTTTAAATTAATCTGACTCTATGCAGATCAATTTGTCTAATTTCTGACCCGACTGCCTTTTGTTTATTCCTCATATTATAAGATGGTCTTTTGTTTCTATGGGCTGTAAATGAATAAAATAAGAGTGAGCCCAATAGGCAAGAGTTGGATTCGGCCTACCTTCAGCTCAAGCTTAACGTAAAGAAGAAAGCAGAAAACTGAGCGAAAGTGGAGAAAGACAGAAAGAAAGAAAGAAAGACGCAGAAAGGGAATTGACACAGACAACAGCAACAACAAAGGTAAAGAAACTAACTAAACCCTCTCTTAGCGTTTCCATTTAAATGTTTTTGAGTAATTTTTTTGGTTTATGTTTCGGGGTTTTTTTTGGTTTCCATAGAAATTGCTCTATCGAAGATCTGTGTTTAGAGTTCAAAGCCTAAGTTTTTTAGAGAGAAAGGTGGTCCATTTTGAAAGTCTCGTTGAATTATTCTCCTCTCATTGTAATTTGTGAGAGGAGGAGTTTCAATTTCAATTTTATGATTCGTGAGAGTGTGAAAGTTTTAAGCTTTTGCCATTGTCGATTGTTGAATTTTTAAAGTTTACTATTTTATGTATAGTTTTATTGTTTCAAGCTTTTGAAGCAGTCTATATCGAGCATTGCTGACTCCATTTTGGTGTTTTTTAGTTCAAAGCTTTTTTTTTTTTTGTACTTGGATTTGGAGGGTTTCGGTTGGTTGGAAGAAAGGTTAATTCTTATTTTGTGATGGTGGGGGGTGAATGCTCGATTTATTAGGGGATTATTTTTTTGTTTTTTGATTTCTTATTAGGTTAAGTTGGTGATATAGAGTATGAGTGGTGCTCCTGTTAAAAGATCGCATGAAGAGGGTGGTCATTCTTCTTCTTTGAAATTCTCTCCTCATGAAGATACAGGTTCGTATCTCATGCTGACATCAGGGGTTTCAAATGAGTACCATCTACCATATGAGATGGGTCCAGATGCTAGGGTGGCTAAGATTCCCAGAACTGAGTCTCAAGACGTAGATAGAAGATCACCTTTGCATTCGATGTATCGAATCCCACCATCTTCAAATGAATCACACATGGATTCTCATTTGAATGTTGCTCCTGAAAGAAGGCCTGAATCAAGGGATTCCAAGGACAGCAGAGACTACCGGATTGAAAACCGTGACCCAAGGACTGATGCAAGAGAGATGTATGGTGAGGTAAAGAGGGATTCACAAAGTGTTAAACATGAAAAGGATGTGAGGTTTGAGAGTAGAGGGGATGGCAATAAGGAAGCAAAGCATGACAAAGAAGCTCATATTGAGCCAAAGAATGACATTAAGATAGAAAAGGATGGTTTTGGTCCTGCAAGTAGTCAGGTGAATTGGAAGGAACCAAAAGAATACCATAGGGGAAAGAGATGTCTGGAATTTGCAGGTGTACATGTGGATCCTTGGCATATATCACATTTTAATTCCCAAGGCCCCGCTGAGATTGAAAAGGAAGTCGTCAGTATTGAGGAGAGGGATCATGCCAAAGTTCACAAGGCAGTTGGAGAAAATAAAGTTGAATTGAAAGGTGAGGATAGATTTAAAGACAAGGATAGGAAGAGAAAAGATTTGAAGCTCCAGGAATGGGGAGACAGAGATAAGGAAAGAAGTGATCGAAGGGGAAATAAGCAAGTAGGCAACAGTATTGCTGAGGGAAAAGAGTCGGTGAAGGTAGAGAGAGAAGGAGAGAGGTGGGAGTGGGAGAGGAAGGATCTGTCAAAAGACAGGGAAAGGTTAAAAGAGAGGGAGAAGGACCACATGAAAAGAGAATCAGGAACTGGAGCTGAAAAGGAGGGTTTGCACAGTGAAAAGGAATCTGTGGATGGATCTGTCAGAATTTCAGAACAGGAAAATCCAGCTTTGGAGCCAAAGAAACAGAAAGATTTTGATAACCGGAAAAATGTTGATAAAGAAGCTAAAGATAAAAAGAAAGAAAGAGAAGCTGACATAGAAGTAGATAGACCTGAGAAGGGCAGCACGATGTGCAGGAAAGAATCTGATGATGGATGTGCAGATGGTGAAATTGCAACTGAAAGGGAAAGGG